ATTTACAAATTTCAAATACACAATTCACAATTCAAATTTTAAATTGATTTACAATATTTGATTAAAATGTATTATCATGTACATTTCAAAATTTTTTTCTGTAAAATTATGTCTTCTGCCACTTAATAAATGTGTGTTTTAATATTGTGAAAACACGAGTTCTACATTATTATACTTGTTTGTAGAGGTGTATAATAGCGGGATATTCTTTTAAATCTACGTTTTATATTGTGTATTTGTAATCGACAATTGTAGTATTATCGTCATTATCTTAATTGAGTAGAATTATATAATTAGATATAAAAGTCCAATACTGCATATTATAATAATATAATTCACCAATGATAAGGTTGATTGATGATGTAATAGATTATGGTGCAAAAACATCTGTAGGTAGGTACAAAAGTATTAATTATTAAATTTTTCCCAAAAAAAATCGGAAACGTGCAATTTTGCTCAAAATAAAACTTTCTTTAAATTAATTTACTTCTTTTGAATTGGATTTGTAACTTGGTTCTGTAGGATTTTCACACGCCATAAAAAGATTAAATTTGACGGGATTCTGGTCTTTAATTATATTAATTAAATATTAATTAATACAATAAATGCATTGTTTTCGGCAAAAAATAAACCAACAATCTGTAATAATAATATTAAAATAAGTTAGTTTAATAGTAATGACGTGGTATACTAGGTACCTACCGATTTTGCTATTATTTCGGTAATTTTAATTTTACATTGGTAGAGTTGGTAACGTTGTCCGTTGATATTGATTTGCTCGGATAGTCAAGAACAATAAATTATATCAATAAGTAGGTAATAACTACTCAGTGTTGGGTAGTGACTTATAGCAAATTACAAATTACTGTAACGCTGTAGTCATTTCATTATATTTTATTTAAACTAATGCAATTGTAACGAAATTATGTACTTATTGAAATCAATTTCTATGGAGTAACTCATGTTTTCTTCCTTGTTATTAAAATAGCTTATGAATGTATGACAAAAAACTAATGGCTAGGATATTTGAGAAAATGAAAAATCAATAAAATTTATTTACGATTCCGAATGTTTGTATATTAAAAAATTATCAAAAATATTGTCAAAAAACCCAGGATAATACTTTTACATTTTGTTCATGTATAATATCAAGTCACTAATAATGTATCTACTACTTATAATTCATTAACGATTATTTTTTGTTTATTTTTTTTTTTAATTAACGTTATTTTTGGAATGTAAAAGTAAAGTAACTTGATGAAAATAATGTCGGGTAACGCGAATGTAATTTAAATAAAAATATTTAATTTAACGAGTTACGTAACTTTATTATATTTTAAAAATAATTTACCCAACACTATAACTATTAATTATTGTAATACAATAAATATATATCACCATCGTAATTTTTTTTTACTTCAGTCCGATTTAATAATTATCCTTCTTATGTAGTATCATATTGGTTCTGATGTTCTGAATGTTTTAGTCGAACTGCAGTCGGACGATAGATAATATTTTTAAATTGTTAGCGAGTGTACGATAAGACTTTAAATCTGTTGGACACAAGTGACCTTTATCTCCACTGTCTATACAATGCTGTACATTTCCAGATTAAGACAATATGATATATTGTATAACTAATGTAACTATATAAGTAATATCATTGAGTGTTTATTGCAATATATATTATTTTATGTGTGTACTAACCCAATAATGGTTGGAAATAGATACCTACGTGTAGACTTTTATTCGGATTTTTCGACACAATCAAAATGTTTAAATAATGTACTAGACTGATATGGATGAAGTATTTTCTTTTAATACACTTATCGCCGATGTGTTCTATACCACCAAAATAATATATTATGAGTATTCGTATTGCAATAATCTTAAAACAGAAACCGTATGACATTCCTTATTTGTCCCAAGTGTTCACAAAAACGTTAAATACGTCCAACCTAACTATAAAATATTCATATTATAATAAATATGAATAATGAACCGGTAGGCGATTGCCCCCCCTCCTCCCTTGGAATTGACCTGTTTGCCCTGTATTAAAATGCGTGTCCAAGCCAAGGAATAATATACTATAGGTATTAATAAACGCCACGTAAATACCACTCCACCACCTACCGGCTCACACACACACAACACATTATTTTATTTGTTATATAATTTCAATATGTTAATTGTGTCGTCCGTGAATTACTATTATGATATAATATATTAAATATGTTAATGTAAAATTAGCTAATTATGTGATAATGGCACTGCGGTAGATCGTGGACCCCAAGTTTGTACGTAAGTGTATGATTTAACTCGAAAGCCTAAAGTATCAAAGTTATATCAAGTTTGTCGTATTCTACCTATGTTGGATTAATGTAATCAATTATTACAAAATTAATACAACCTAACCTCTTGAGTCACTGTTGTATTTTTGACATCCAGATTTCCTACTTTTCAGGTGGATTTTCCTAAAGTTTTGTTTCATAATAACCTTCTCCGTGATATACTCTTTCGTTTAAAAAAATTCAAGAAGATTTAATAAGTAGTTCTAGAGTTGACCCTGTACAAAGATTTTTATTTCACATTTATTAGTTAGAATATATATATATAATATATTGACAAAAAAAATAATAATACAAATCAACAAAGGTGCCCGTAACCAATAGCAAGCAATATACAATACACTATTATTATTTTAATCCTCAACTTAATTTTTTATTATTATTATTATTTATTATTTAGGGTGTACTTAAGAGGCTATAACTCCGGAACCACTTATCGCACAGCGTACAAACTTCACAGAAACCATCTACATATCAATCTTGATATGCCCTGAAATGAAACAAATGCAAATGAAAAACGATAACCAAAAATCTAAAAAACAGAAAAAAATTAATAACGAAATCAAAAACGAAAATAAATTATATTATATTATACATTATTAAATTATTTATACTACGAAAAAAAAAATTTCACTTAAGTCTTTACTTTTTAATCTTTATCAATGCACTTTTAACATTTAAAAACAATTTAATTTGAAATTAGAAATTTTGAATTTTCTAATTTTTATATAAATTATAATTTTGATTTAAAATTTAAATATTAAGAATAATTAATTTTAATTTTTAACTTTTAAGTGCATTTCTATATTGTGCTTTACTATTATAACTTAAAAGTTAAAAGTTATAAGTTATAAGAATATAATATTTAAAAAAAGGTGCTCTGCTGTACAGTAGGTTACAAGCGGGTCACTGTATAATGGATAGTATAAAATTTGAATTCAATGATATAATATCATTGTATAAGAAAAACGATTCTGAGCGGAGACGGTATATCAGTCTAGACTCTAGGTATAACACATTATATAGCAGTGGTGGCCAAATCACGGCTCGCGAGCCGCAAGCGGCTCTCGTCACAGTCGTATGCGGCTCGCGGTCTTATTTACAAAAACTAAAATATTTTAATTTTTTTTGTATACATTTATAAAAAAAATGTTTTTATTGTATTTATTTAAGGCTATAGTATTATAGTGCATAGAATATAGATTAAACCCACCAAAAACATATATGTAAAATGAGAGCCAAGTTCAATACTATAATATATGCCTTGGTTGTTGACTTCAACGACAAAATAAGTGAGATCTAAATGGGTGCCAAGTTAGGATAATATATTGAAGCCTAAGGTGTGACTTGGCTACTTTTCATATACGAATTATTATTATAACTGTACTTATAAATTATAAGTACCTACTAAAACAGTAATGGAAGAGTGAAGATGATTTTCCGAAGAATAAAATAAGAACTCAAAGCTTTAGAACTTGCAAATGCTATAATATATAATTCGTAGCCAAGTCAGACCTTAGGCTTCAATATATTATCCTAACTTGGCACCCATTTAGATCTCACTTCTTTTGTCGTTGAAGTCAACAACCAAGGCATATATTATAGTATTGAACTTGGCTCTCATTTTACATATATGTTTTTGGTGGGATATCATTACTTTTTGTATGTAAATTATTATAACCTAACCTAACCTAGCCATGACGTATTCTATAAATAAAGTTTATTACTATATAATATAATTCAGTTACTAATATTAATAATAATATTTATTATAAAATATTTTCCGTTGTATATACAGAGTATAAAATATATGTAAAATTAATATACAATTATTTTAACTCTTTTTGAGTATATTTTTAATTATCATAGTTTTATTGACTGTAGTTTCTACTGTTGGGTGGATAATTCATAATTTGTAAGGATAATTATTTAATTATTTTAATTGTAATATTTAAAAGAAAAAATATTAATTACATACATAGATAGAAAAAAAAGTATGTTGCTGCGCGCGGGTCGACAATATCGACACATATTCGGCTAGTCGTATTTTTGGAGCTGCGATACGGGAAAGGTTATTTAAGTCAACATTACATTACATTACATTAAATTAGAGGCAATTCATTAATAAATTGAAAAATTAAACATAATAGATAAAATAATTGCAAAATTGTAATAAAATCAACTGATTAAAAAATTAAAAATTAAAAAATTTTAAATTAAAAATTTTCAAGTTTTTGATTTTTTCCTTTGTATTTACCTAACTACCTATCTGTATGCCAAATTTGAACTTTCTAGGACCTAGGTCATCTGGAACTGGGTTAGAATTTTGATCTATAGGTAAGTCAGTGATAAAAATGACGATTTTCGGACGTTAATATCTAAATAACGGTTTGAAGTGTGTTTATGAAATTTAGAGCACATATGTATCTCGTTAGTCTCAATATATGAGCCAAATTTGACATGTTCATGTGGAATAGTTTTTGAGTTATGAGGGGGTCAAAAGTGGCTCCAAATGGTTCGTGTAATATTACACACGGTGCTGCTCACCAGTTCTGTTAGCTAGAACTTGGCTTGACACGCTACCGCGTGTCTAGATCAAACAAAAAAATAATTAATTAATATGAATAATAAATTAAAAAATTAAACATTAAGCTAATTTTGTTTGCGTGGTACTTTTTTCGTGTCTACTTTTTTAGTAAGCTTCTTAAGATCTGGTTGAATTGATGTAAGAGCAGTTCTTAGTAATTCTGTAAGATGATCATCAGTCAAATTTGAACGATATTTTGACTTAATTATTTTCATTGTTGAATAAAGTGATTCACATGAATACGTCGTTCCAAAAATTGATATCAATTTTACCGCACAGTTTTTAATATTTGGGTATTTTAATATAGAAATATGCTTCCAGAATTCCAATATAGAGGGACAATTGTTTATAAACTGCTTAAGACCTTCATCTTCTAATAACTCCAAGAGTTCTATTTCGAGATCCGCTTTATTTGTGACGATAGGATGTGATAATTGTTCCCTTTTCAATGACATCAATGACAACTAAAAATGGATTTTCTAAAAATCCGAATGAGGGTTTTAATGCCTTTAGGTCTTGAAATCGTATAGTTCTTCCCATTCTAATTTAAATTCCCGTTTTTCTTCTTCATATTTACGTTTAACCGCTTTTTTAGAAATTGACATCGTAACTAACTATCGCAAAAAGTATCGGTAAAATATTAAAAATATAATTATTAAATATTACAAATATTTTACAAAACAAATTGAGGTGTTTACACTAAAAAATATAAAACCACGTGGACATATTATATAGAGTATTACTGATAATTATTTGATAATATATAACAAAAACAGCCAAAAAAAAAAAAAAAACTGTACCTATATATAATTAATGTTCAAAAGTGATTATAATTGCTGACCAACGAATAGCACCTGTTGATATTATTAATGTAGATTTTAATTTTGTAATTAAAAGAAAAAAAACATAATTTTATTAAAACATCAAACGAGAAAAAAACGTTAGTTGTAGTATTAATATTTTAGTTTATAAAATAATCAACGCTGTCGGTTATTCTCGGTACTTACTTTAAAATAATTAAAAACGAAAAATCCATAGAAGAACTTCAAAAAGTAATTAAAAATTAAAACCGTAATCACTAACCAATTATATTTTTCGATGAGAATCAATATAAATATTTAATTATACTTACACTTAAGACTTAATTGACATTTTCTCACATTCAATTTAATTTAAAATATGGTTAGAAAGATCTAAGGGGTATTTATATTATTATTATTATTATAATCATTAGGTATTATTAATTGCCCTAACAGTCATTAAAATTATTCTATATAACACGAGAATTGTATAAAGTGATTTTGTCGGACACCGACACTTTCATATGCTCAGTAAACTGGTGTGCATATATTATAATATCATTTGCAGTGATGTAGATATATTATATTACTTAACTCGTAAAATGAGCTGCGTTAGTAAGAACATTTGACTATAAAATATAATATTATTATTTCCACAGTAACTTAATAACGAACTGAATAAAGTGTATTGTTGTCGTACCACCGTTTGTGGCACTTTTTGTGCGGTCGGCAAAGTAGGTAGGTACTACTACAGACTGTCACAGCCGTTATTTTTATTTTTGAGTACGTATACGGTATACGTGAATAGTAAATACGTTAGATTTTATTGTATAAAAGGTTGATACCTACTATAGAGTATAGATACATCTATCATTTCAATTGACCGAAAAGATTATCGCTATCATAATAACTACCATTCCCAGCAAACACTAAATTATCATTCACTTCTGATAAACTAGTTTCACCACGGCATGTAATCATTTCCGGTCCATAAATCATAATGCAATCGGTTCGTTTTTGGGGCTTACCACTCTGTAGTAGTATCACAATATTAATTAATTCTTATTTACACCAATAACTAAAATAACAGCCATCGCCTGATTGCGGCTCAAAGTATCCTTTTGACATTTTTATCCAGGCGCAGACTGGTAAAATAGGGCACATGATGCTACACAATTTAAAGGGAAAATAACAAACATTGTTGGGGAAAATTTAATACGTGTAGACTGTAGATTATATATAAAATATTAATATATTTTATTATGTTAATTGTTTTAAAAAAATATTGAATATACAATAAAAACGTATAATTTGTCTATTGTCCACACTCGTTAAGCTGATTTTACTTGCATTCTGCCGTGAATTATATAAATATAGATACATTATAATGTAGTATAATTACATTTAGATTCTGATTTATTTCGAAATATATCTTTTCTTTTTAAACTATGAGCTAGTGGGCTGCATTATAAATTAGGACATAAAAGCACATTTTTTACCTATTTACGAAATTTATCAGACCTCAGAAAGCTCATACCGGACTCGGATCAGATATGTGTGAATATATTCATTGAAAAGCAATAAGTTCGTATTTCCTGGTATACCGTGGATGTCCTGGTGGATCCAGCCGCTCTTAATTATTAATATTATTATGCTTTATTATTTTTGCATTATATTATTATTATTATTGTTATTATTATTATTATACCTACCGTTGCACCGACAGCTCGTTGTTGTCACACGTCTCAACCAGGAGATATGCGTTGTAACGAGTTTGTAAATATTACAATTAGTTTTGGCTAGTGATTTTAAAACTTTGTAATATACTAATATTACTAATATGTGTAGGCGACCTTTTATTAATACCCTTCAATTGAATTAATGCATCGTTAATTCCGATTTGCAGTAAAAATATTTCGAATAATTTAATACCCACATTTAGTACACTAATAAACGTAATAACTAACACGCTAGCACAATAACGTTGAATTCACGTTCGAAATTTTCGAGCAAAACTGATATTAATTTTTCCATCATCATTAATTTATCCGTACAGGCGACAAAGCTGTACTTAGTTGTGATTCATACATTAATTATCGAAACGCCGTGTGCCGAACCACCGTAGCGAGGTGACACATTATTCTAACACCAATAAAGTAAACTCATTATTCTCATAATTATTGAATTATCTCAAGTGCGTCACCCACAACCTAGGTACGCTGCACCAGACACTCTGAGACCGGATTACCACAAACAGAATATTTCTTTATTAACTACTCGTCCTAAATTCGATTTTTATGTATCGAAATACTAAGCGGAACAATTCTGCATTGGAATATGAATCCAAAACTGTATATAATATGTTGTTATTCAAAAAAGTTAAAAACTTAAAAAAATTTGGATTTATGGTTCGTCAAATAGTAAAACGTGACCTATAAAAGAATTTGAAACATAAAATTAATGTTTCAAATAAAAAAAAAAAAAATGCAGTGTAATATATCATCATATTTACTACTAATGTACTTATTCGTTTTTACTGTGGTGCGATTTATTTAGTAGATAACGTAGTGGCTTACAAATATTCAGTTATTTTTAGTTTATAGAATATTGTATTTATTTTGAAATTTGGATCGAGTGTACGACAGAGAGATACTTAAACCCTGTTGGACCCGAGGACGCAGTATTATAAAGAAATGTGTGAGGTCGATTCGGGTGAACACACACGTTGCCGTATTTTTATTTCGCTTCTCCAACACAATCGGAACTCTGGGCTTAATTTACTACAGCAAAAAACAAAATTTTTTCAATTCTTCGCCATGCGTGCAATGGGTATGATAATTTTACGGTTTCCTGTGGGGTCAAACAGTGGAACAGCACGGGGTCGCGTCTAGTCGCTGACTTATGTCCGGACCGGTAGTGACGCCAGACACTGCAGGGAAAGCGTACCTTATTAATATAATATATTTGCAATTGTAACTGTGGTCTTTCAACATTCATATGCTCAGTAAACTGGTGTGCACTATATTATAATATAATCTGCAGTGGTGTAGGTGTATTATATTGCTTAACTCATAAAATGAGCTACGTTAGTAAGATCATTTGACTATAAAATATATTATTATTTCCACAGTAACTCAATAACGAAGTGACTAATATGTATTGTTGTCGTACCACCGTTTTCAATTGGCATGGCGCAAAATTAATGAATCGTATAATTTCGTTTCCGGCAAATACGAGTCATAAATAATTCATATTATAATTGAAAGTTCTCAAGATGAACGCTTTGGTCGTCGTTTACTTAATTAATAACAACGCGTTTCGTTATTAAGTCGTATGTACAACTGTCGGCGTACTGTTTTGGAATCGTCTTCAGTTTTGGTCGTCTTTGTGGAATATAGATGCACAGTAACTCTTGTCAAAACTTTTATGGTATCGATCATAGTTTTCGATGAAATCGTCCAAAATCCCGCCGTACATAGAATAAAGTTGTAAATTAATAATTAAAGTTTCTGGTTTGTTCGTTAAAAACAGTTTTAAAATTGGAGTTTAGTAATACATTCAAAACTTAAACATGCAGAGGCATGTACAGTAGGATGGAGGAAGATCGACTTCACAAAACAAAAAAGGGAGACTATAGGAAAATCGGATGAAAATTATTCATTTGATTTATTTTGATTAAATAATTTTCTCATCCATTTGTATATCCTTGTAAAAGGCAATATTTTTGTATGCGTATGTAGGCGATTAATAACAACAAAGTCATCCCTCTCGTGGTTCTGAAATTTGGTACATAGGTTGGTAATTACTAATTCTATGCCCGTTGCATGATGTGCACCTCTCAGGGAATTTTTAAATTTTGGGTTTTAAAAATCACAGGTGTACACACAGGGATTTGTTGGCTCACAAAAAATGAATATTTTTTTGCTTGTGTAGAGTTTCCATTGCATGTTTCGTGAAATAAAATAGTTATTATAATTTTAGACCGGTATTTTATATTTCAAATATAAATATAATATATATTTGGTCAAAGCCACCCAAATTACCGTGTTAAAAATGTGTAGTTTACATTTAACGAAGTTTAAGCAGGGATTAACCACTATCAATATTAAATTTGTCACGGTCAACGATGTGCAATGTCAGCTGGTACAATAATAAAATAAATAAAAGTTATTGTCAATTGTCCCGATCCCTGACCTTTCCGATAATGTCACGACCAGTGTTGATCACAGAAATACCCGACGAAAAAACTGAAGTCATCCTACGAATTCTTCGTAACGAATCGCAAGAGTTAAGCCCTCACAATCCACATTACCTATATTTGATTCCGTTTTAGCGCATTCCAATAAATTATACGTGCAATTTAGATAACACGGCGATATGGATAGGCAAATCCGTTACATTATTGTCGCCGGTACGTTTATCCGGTTCCTCACACGTCCATAATATTATTATTATTATGTTTAATTGAACACGTCCATATTGTTTATTGCCATGAGATTAAAAAAAAAAGATCTCACTTTTTTTTGATTTCACCACAAAATTAAGTTTTTCTGGTGGTTTATTCAAACAGTTTACGAAATACTATATATTATCATAACAATTATAAACAATTAAAAACAAGTTTTGAATATATAAATTTAAATATAAGAAGGTGC